TGTTTCGTTGCAGTCCCAGGGCTGTTGTTGTTCTTGGCTCTTGGACAGTCTCTCGAATTTCTGTGGAATCCTTGTTGAATGTTCTTATGCCAACAACAAGCCAGGAAACAACAATTGAACAGTTGGAAGCCTGGAATCAGATTCCTGTCCAAGATGATGTCCAAGATGTATGCATGTGTACGTGTGTGCGTACGTGTGTGTGTGCATGTGTGCATGTGTGTGTGCGTGCGTGCGTGCATGTGTGTGTGTGAGAGAGAGAAAACAGCCTGCTCATGGATTTCTAATTGATTTAATAATTCAATTATTCCAAAGCAACCCAGATAACAAAGCACAGTTACAGCGTGGTGGCCCAGGGTCTAAGCAGCATGTTTGCTGCAATGACATAATTCTAAAACCATAGAGAACATTACTGGTTCTAAGTAAATTTGTGACTTGCAATCCTAGTCTATCTTAATAAGTTGATACAGTTCGCTAAGTCAAACGTGCCACACTTGTGGCAATTACTGTAGTCTGTGAGGAAAGCTTTCTGACCCATAACAACGAAACCTAGCTCCACCCAGCCCAGCCCATGGGGGAGAAGTATGTCTGGTCTGCTGGAACTGCCTGGCCTGGGGGGCTAAAACTAAGTAGCTAGGGGTAGAAGCAGCAGACACCACCCTATAATTTCACAGCCTCTAGAAGGCAAGTGACTCCTCCCAAGAAGAGAGGGAGGAGGCATGGGGCACTATGCCTGTTGTCAGAGCCAGGGCCTGGTGGTCACTCTGGACATAGGAAGAGTGAGAACAGCAAGATTCATGGGGCCTCTCTGACACCAGGGTGACCTCAAAATACACCAGAACCAAAACCAAACAAACAAAAAAACAAAGACAAGGCTAGACCAACACCTTCTATCTCAGGAGATTAGCCTTATACCAAAATAAGAAGTTATTTTGTAATTGAAAGTCAATCAATGCAGTCCATTATATTAACACCCTAATGAAGAAAAAAACATGCTTACATAAATGTAAAAAAGCATTTGACAGAATTCAATGTCTATTTATGATAGAGACTTCCAGAAAACTAGAAGAAGAAGGGAACTACCTCAACCTGAAAAAGGGTATCTCTGGAAAACATACAGCTAACATCACAGTTAGCAGTGAAAGACTGAAGGCTTTTCCCTAAGGACTGGGAAAAAGGCAAGGATGTCTGTTCTTGCCACTCCTGTTCAACATTTCACTGCAAGTCCTGGCCAGTGCAAAAAGGCAAGAAAAAGAAATGAAATTCTTTTGTCCATATTGGAAAGAAAGCATGAGAGCAGTTATATTTGCAGGCAACAAGAAGCTCTTAGAACTAAAAAGTGAGTTCAGCAAGGTTATAGGATACGAGATCAAGAACCAAAAAATCAACCATTTTCAAACCTTAGAAATGAACAGTTGGGCCGGGCGCGGTGGCTCACGCCTGTAATCCCAGCACTTTGGGAGGCCGAGGCGGGTGGATCACGAGGTCAAGAGATCGAGACCATCCTGGTCAACATGGTGAAGCCCCGTCTCTACTAAAAATACAAAAATTAGCTGGGCATGGTGGCGCATGCCTGTAATCCCAGCTACTCAGGAGGCTGAGGCAGGAGAATTGCCTGAACCCAGGAGGCGGAGGTTGCGGTGAGCTGAGATGGC